ATGTTTTATGGGGCTCGTGTTAGGTTCAAAAATGAAGAAACGCCGGACGGACAGAGGTCATCGCAGATCGAAAGGTTCAAATCAAATGTATTTAAGAAAGGAGATGGTGTTGTGGTAAAAAGAACATCTCAGCTGAGGAGCCGCTGGTCTCAGCAACCAACAGGCCCCAGGTCAGTCCTTTTGACCCCCCATAGTGCCCGTCTGCCGCCTCCACCAGCGAACTCCAGAACAATGGTTCCTACAGGTATTTATAACGATCCGTGAAGGTGTGGAAGTTAGTGTCCACTCCTCTGGGAGTCTTCTGGTGAGTTCAATGGAACTCGGATTTCAAATGTCTCTCAGTCAATACCAGTAGTGCAAGTATTACATGCATGATTCCAGTTAATTACATTACATTAAATACAATCATATATTTATGGTGACATTTATATGTATCTGTCTTTTGTGTAATTATGTGTATTAACTTAAAGTATTTTTTCATTCATATTTAAAATAACTCTCTTCATGATTCATTAGATTCACCTGACGAGGGTCAGTGGATAAGAGGAGGGGGGGCTGAGGCACGGGGGCTGGCTTTTGTATTGGACGGGACATCGGCACAGACCTTTGACCTCACGTTGTCCACTAATCATGTTAATCGTGTTCAAATGAAACGACCAAATGTAAAACTTAAATAAACAACGTAAATGAGAAGTATTGAGTGGTTTCTATGGGAGCGACATCGTGTGAGTCAGGAAGCGGAGTCCTGGGCACCAAAATGAGGAAGTGCAAAGATCGGCCACCACACACGCACATATGAAAAGGTTCTATATATATAGTTGAACACTTATACATTCATAATCTCTTGAGGATTACAAAGATATAAAAAGTTTAGATACATATGCAATGTTTACATATATTTATGTAAATGTTTCAAAGGTGTATGTATAACTTTTTCAGATATATGTATGTATGCTCTCACATGAGAATGTGCAGGCGTTTCACATGTATTCATACGAGTAATCTCACTAGTGAACATAAGATTATCTCACTAGTGAACATCAGAGCATCTCACTAGTGAACATTAGAGCATCTCACTGGTGAACATTAGAGTATCTCACTAGTGAACATTAGAGCATCTCACTAGTAAACATTAGAGCATCTCACTAGTAAACATTAGACCATCTCACCATTGAACATTATAGCATCTCACTAGTGAACATTAGAGCATCTCACTAGTGAACATTAGAGCATCTCACTAGTGAACATTAGAGCATCTCACTAGTGAACATTAGACCATCTCACTAGTGAACATTAGAGTATCTTACTAGTGAACATTAGAGTATCTCACTAGTGAACATTAGACCATCTCACTAGTGAACATTAGATCATCTCACTAGTGAACATTAGAGTATCTCACTAGTGAACATTAGACCATCTCACTAGTAAACATTAGAGCATCTCACTAGTGAACATTAGAGCATCTCACTAGTGAACATTAGACCATCTCAATGGTGAACATTAGAGTATCTCACTAGTGAACATTAGACCTTCTCACTATTGAACATTAGACCATCTCACTAGTGAACATTAGAGCATCTCACTGGTGTAAATGCATGAAGTCTCACCAGCATACTGAAGCATCTCCGTTACACCAGAAGAAGGAAGCAAAGAGTGCAGGTTTTGAACAGTGAAAAGCGCCTTACGTTCTTCCTAATATGCTTTTAAGACCGGACTTCTGTCCTTGTGTCGGTCCAAGTTTATAAATATTACTATTTATGTCCCAGATTGTAGTTTTAGGCCTGTTCTCAGCAGGACTTCTGTGAAACGCTGCGCTTGTATCCACTTCTCCGTAGTGGAGATTAAAACCCTTTTAATGCACAATGATACTGTGGATACAGACAAGACGTTAAAGTTTAATAAACATGAAGTTATGAATCTAAACTCTGTCCTCAAAAGAGCGTAACAAAACCGGTGAACAAACACCAGACTGACAACAGATTAAGTTATGAACACTCAGCCTAGTTATAGAATAGTTAACATTATATCTCATGTATAATAATGTATATAATGTAATCTCACGTATACCTGCTTCATCCGCTGGCTTTCCGCTCATCGTGAACAGATGTTCAGAGTCCTGATGCAGATGTGGATGAGTGCTGATCCGCTCTGAGGCTCTTCAGTGCACTTCTGCTCTGAGCTGGTGGCCGTGTGGGTATTTAAATCACTTTGCCCCCCGCTGCAACTTCCTGAATTATGATCTGAGCTGATGACAACTTTTGGTCGTCTATCAGTTACATTCTTCGTTGTCTTTTACATTTTGTCTGTTTTAACTTACTTTATGAACTAGTGATGATAATGTATCTCAGGTAGCTGCCTTCTTACCCACACACACACAATACAATGATAATATTGCCTTTGTCACACCGCGCTGAACTGGTTGGGTTTGTTTTATTTTGTCTGGTCTTTTTTGTCTTGTCATTTCCTGTTTTATTTTGAAATAGTAACTCCTCTCGTTTCAGGTCACTTTCCCTTCGTCACGTGTCACCAGTCTGATTGTCTTCCTGATTCCTGATTGTGTCCTCCTGTTCCCCATCGCCCTCCACGTGCACTAATAGTCTGCGTCTCCATTTGTCCTCTGCAGTGTCCTCGTTTCCGTCCTCGGGTTCATGCGTTCGCTCGCCATAGTTTACAGGCCTGGAGAACCACGTCATCGTGTTCTGTTCCATTGTTTCCTCCAGGAGAGTGATGCTCATTTTGTGTCATAGATGTAGTTTAATGCTTAATGTTTCATAGTGCTTTGTTTCCTCCGTAAGGAGAGAATTTAGTTTTAATCTTTCATGGTGCCTCCAGTTTTAAGGAGTGTTTGTTGTTAAGCGAAGAGTTCTTACCTGATATTCTGATGAAGTTAAAAGCCTTCTGGTTTTCCTCCTCGAGTGGAGCCACTTTGGGTTGATCATTTTATAGCCACACTTCTTCCTAAATGATTTATTGGGAGAAGTGTGATTGTAAAATGACCACTAGCAGTGTTCTTTTATTTTGATGATCCTGTTTCCTACTTAGATTTTATGTGACTTTTATTTTGACATCATACTATCTGCTCACGTGATTAATCGCTCGCGCTCACATTTGTTCAATAGAAGACACGAGAAGCTAGCTAGCAACTAAATAAGTTAAGCTAATGGCGGCGGACTTCCCTGGATCACCACTTTATAGCAGCCTTCGATATGCGGAGCGAGGTATGTGCTTCATTGTGATTGTATTTCATTGTATTTCATGTAAATTCGTTTCATATAATGACTGTTGCTATGCTGTTATCCATGTATGCTAAAGTGCATTTGTCAAAGGATTATTTGTATCTAAATTGCCTTTGTTATTTCCCTTTTTAGTTGTCACGGTGCTGGTGTTGGTGCTATGCACACTTATCTGAATGAAAGTACACCCGTCTGGAAACACTCCCAAGCCTGTTTCTTCCAAATTGAAGGGACGCTACAGTGATCTAGATCCTTTTTATAGCTGCTATTTATTTTCTCTGCCTTGGAGATCCAGTCTCACTAACAAAGACTACAAATCCCATGAAACCCTGCAACTGTGTCCTGCCGGGTCGTGACAGGCTTCCTCAAATTCGTTTTTATCAGAAAAATTCCAGTTGTCATTATTTACCCATGAAAGTGCGTTTTTTTGGTTTAGTTTAACTTTGGCTTTTTAAGGACGGTTTAATTGTGTGTTTTGTGGATAAGAAGATTTCCTCAAAAGCACGTTGGTCACTTTTAGATGTTCTTAAATGGCCTTTCTGGTAGACGACATATTGAAACGCTTCTGAGTAAGTTTCCTTGTTAAGAGTATTAAAACATGGTCGGACAAACCAGTCAGCACACACACTAAAAAAGGTTGGGTTAAAAATAACCCAATTTGGCTTGTTTTGTATTCTAAAATTAACATATCATAAAACATCCAGAGCCTGTCCAGCAATGATGACGAAGGCCTGGATGCTTGATGTTTGTCGTTTCCCAGAGTCAGGACATACGGGTGAGTCTGGATGCCTTGGCCTCATGAAGGTACTCGACCATGTTCCTTCCAGGCTGAAAAAGAAGATAAAATAAGATGGAGCTGTATTAGTATAAGGATTCAATTTAAAAAACATTTTGATGAATACAAGCAGGATAAAACGTTCTTACCGTGGCAGCTCCTGATCCAAAAAGGGAGTGTTCTTGTGTCACTGTGGGGTCAGGCGTTGGTGGCTGTGTGGGGTTACCTACGCGCTTTTGCAGGGGTTTTGCAGACTTCTGTGGTTCAAAACAACCCGGCTGCTGGGTCAACCGATGGATGTTGGGTCGATGAATTTTGACTCAGCGCATGAGTTGCACAAAAATAACCCAACCCCCCTATAAATGACCCATAATGGGTAGAACATGTCATAACTCAGCGTTTGGGTAGATGAAATAACCCAGCAGTTTTTAGTGTGTACTGTGTGTTTTGATCGTTCTTTCTGGTTTATCGTTTAAAATCAAATGAATCTGGGACGGAGAAGAGTGGCTTATCTTTGTGGGTTTGTTCACTAACTGGGTCACATTAAAACTATCACTTGGACGTTTTAGGGATCTTGTTCCAGACTTATCCTCCCAGTTTACATTAAAATCACCCATTAAAATAACCTCTTTGTCAAAGTCACATCCCTTTCACATGGAATTAAGAGGATGATAAGATTCACATCTGGACGATGACGGTCTGTAGAGACAGATTAGAGTCAAAGACATTCGAGATGATGCCAATACGCTCCAAGTTGACATCAGTAGACACTTAATGTGGCGGCAGTGAAGGTGTTCTTTAACGGAGATGGACAGCGGGAGACTTGTAGAGGGACACTTCCTGGTCCTCTGTGGAGCTCTGCTGCTGCAGATGTTCACAGTGGGACGGCCTTCTGCTTTAACGCGTCACAGCACCTGAAGGAGGCGACTCTTCCTGACGCCACTGAAGCTTGTTGAAGGATTCACGCCGATAAAAAGAGACAAACAACAACGTGTGGCTGCACATTTATTCACAACAACAACAACAACAACAGACCAAAAGATGAACCTGCTGCTACAAAGATAAACTGAGAAACATCAGCTGTGCAAGTTCAACATGGTTCTAAGTATTGATGCAAAGTGCAGAGAACCAGCAGGCAGCGCCCCCTGCTGGTCAAAGGTAGAAACAAGAAGAAATTAATCAGGGAGAAATCAGGAAGCTGCTGATGTGTAAATCAGATCACAAGGAAACACACAGGAAGTTATGAACAATCAACAGTTTGGTCTTGACGTCTGAATTCACACTCAAAGTATCTATTGGATCCAATAAAACACCTTGAAGCTGAGATTCTGCTTTGAAGAACACAACACTTTAGAAAATAAAACCTATTTTCTGTAGAAATTAAAACCTTGAATAAAATCATCAACAGACAAAGCTTTCTGTGAGCAGATCCTTGTTCTCTTCTCATCACACTTCACTGATGTCCATCCTTTGTTCCCGAGAGAAACGGCACAGTGACCTTCAGCAGGAGGTTCCATCCAGGAGCTGAAGGAACAACATGATGTTCAGATGAAACAATGATAGAAGAAATGATTCATGATGTTAAAGAATGTGTCACTTACGTGTCAGTCAGATTAGTTCCATCAATCCACTTCCACGTCCCTCCTTCAACCCTCAGGCCCATCCAGTACCCGTTAGATACAGGGATCGCTGTGATCTTCTCATCGATTACGTTCTGTGAAAGAGAAGAAATGACAATTTACAAAGATAAAAGAAACCAGAGAAATAAAGTGTTTATTTGAAGGAAGTTATTAAAGTGTCTTGTGTGTCTTTATAGAGAAGAGTTGTGTGAGGTTAAGTAAAGGTCCCAAGGATGTAAGTATTTATTTATATTATTCATATTTATATGTTGTTACCTGTAAACTGGTCCTACAGACTCAACTACAGAAAACCATTTATATTTAATATTTATATCATAAACGTTCCCTCAGGTCTCTCATCACCTTTTCCTCCTCATCATGAACAACAAACAGATCTCCTCCCCTTCCTCTGCAGTTCTCTCGAGCTTCTTCCCAGGTTTTAGGATCAGGAGGAGCTTCACTGTTATGAAGCACAAAGCAGCTCTTCTGGATCTTGGTCCAGCCTTTCTGACAAGATGAACACCTTCTCACTGAAAGAACAAAGAACCAACAAACAGCCTCATTGTGATATTGTTATTGGTTCTTTGTGGACTGATTAATGTAAAGTGATGATACCTTTACGTGTATCTGCTGGGCAGTAGGAGTCGATGGTCCACTGAGCTCTGTTGACATTGAACTTCTCCCAGTTGTCCTCCAGGTCTTTGATTTGTTTTGTGAAGTTCTCCTTCAGCTCCTGGATCTCGTTCTTCAGCTTGACGTTTTGTTCAGAAATGACGGAAGAAACTGAAATATGATCAGAGGGAAGTGTTGGTCTCGTTGTTTGTTTGGATCCTTTAAATAACCCATGTGACACAGAGGTGTTTCATGATCATGGCAGGTGTCACACTATGGGTGTTCATGCATGCAGCCGACTCACTGTCTCTGGAGTCACACAGATTGAATCCTGAGCTCTAAAGGTTGAAAACTCCTCATGATTGATTGGTCTTAGATGAAGCTGAGAGGAAGCCGGCGTGGACTCGCTCCACCCAGAAAGGTACTCACAGTAGATACGAAGGCCCATGATGAGCAGCAGGAGGATCCAACACACGGCGAGCAGGGGGAGAGACGGAGAGGAGAAGAGGAGCCTCCGGTCTGACACAAACATCACAACAAGGGTGGAGGTCATGGTGCTGCTCCAACACTCAAAGGGCTTAAATACATGACAAGCACATGAAGTGGGTGGTGTTCAGCGTGCACCTGGGGGGGCTTTGTCCTCAGGACGTACTGGTGCGTTCACGTATTCATTGTCCTTAATGACTCCCTCTGAAAGAGAAGACAACAAAGTGTTCATCACGAAGACGCCAAAGAGGAACTCTGGAATCCACTTCCACCGTCGGGATGTTGTCTGAGGTCACAGCGTCACAAGCAAACATGCAGCTGTAAATACTTTATCTTTGGCCTGAGACCTTTGTCACCTGTTCACCTGTTCACCTGTTCAGCCCGAGCTTCACCGTTTCGGAGTTGATTTTGGTCAAATATACAAATATTCAAGTCTTGGCTACAGTCTTCACTTATACGTCTGAAATGACTCCAAACACAACTTCAACAAGTTAGACAATATGTTGTGTAAATTAGTCCAGATGATTTGCACACAGCGCTGCTTACGTACTTTATTCTCCTCCAAGCTAAAAGAGGCGTCGCTCTTTCCCGCCTGTCAGTCTGGTCCAATAGAATGAGGAAAAAAAGTGGTTGAAACGGGTAGATCGGCAACTACAGCCGGACTCTGATAAGAATCCACATCTTCACTGAGGCCTGAAGGACAGCCTGTCCTCCAGTAGATGATATTCACTCAAAGCAGAACGTTCCCTGATTGCTGCCCACGCACTGATCTGTCACACAGATGTGTGTTCAGTCTGCTACCTCCATGTTTTATGGGGCTCGTGTTAGGTTAAAAAATGAAGAAACGCCGGACGGACAGAGGTCATCGCAGATCGAAAGGTTCAAATCAAATGTATTTAAGAAAGGAGATGGTGTTGTGGTAAAAAGAACATCTCAGCAGCGAACTCCAGAACAATGGTTCCTACAGGTATTTATAACGATCCGTGAAGGTG